TCCCGCGTTTCTACTACACAAACAGTTCCTGTTTCTTGTGAGCATTCTCAAAGTCATACGCCTAGGTTGAATGACGATGCTCGACCTGGTCTTCCGGTACCTTGACATTCCACGATGAGTCCTGGCTATTGGCACCCATATCATCGAACGAGCTGGGTTTAGTTTCATGGTGATTCATCGTAGTCTGTAGCTATGGGGGTACTAGTGAGTCGATGTTCCGCACAGGGACGGGCGTAGATGGTTCCTGATGCATGCTGCGGTGGTAAAAGTTTGTCATGGGCAATGCTGCGGAAACAGGCGCCAATGGATCCCAAGAAGGCGATTGTAATGGGATAATAGTTGGGATTGATAAGCTGACATCTTCAGCCTGCTGCACACGAAAAAAATTTGGGAAACTTGATGGCCCAGTCTCTGGTATAGAAGACAACCCGGCTGCGACGGACGAGGCAATAGACTCTGGTGGATTAAAGGAGGGACTAAGATGGTACAGCCCTTGGGAATTGTCTTTCTAGAAGGGCATGACCCCGCTTTTAGTCAGATATTGCGGCTGTTCAGCCTTGTCTTTAAAGGGCCATCCTGCCGCCTGCGGTGCAGGAATAGACGGATGTAAAGAACTGTTGGTCTCGGACGTGGTCAGATTGTCGGCTTCAGACCAGGTCTAACTCCAGAAAAATGCGGGCAACGTCTTCTATGAGTATGGTTCCGTAGCCCACCGCATCGAGTACCATGCATCTGCCGTATGATCCGCTGTTGAGTTGTCTGCGGGCATATACGAGTTCGGGAGTGTGATTGCACTAAGCGGGGGTCCCCAGCCTGCATTTACGCTAGATTCGGATGGGAGAGTGCTGTTTCTATTATTGATAATCTCATATCTTTCTCCACGAGCAGTAACGTCTGCAGGGCACGTAATGGGTGAGCCACGTTCAGCACCACTGTCTCTTGGAATGGCGACATCTGAAGCGCGGCCTATATCAGACACGCTCCATCGGTGTTCCTCCATGGATGCGCTGGCGTGAGTCTCATACGTTCTTAAGGTATCACTAGAAGGTCTGCATAAGCCCTGTGGATTGGCGACTTCTCTGTTCGTGTTTTGGTATATATCGTAGTACGATGGTTCGCCCTCGGCTGATCCGACTGAGGAATGCACGCACTTCTGGCTTTCCGGCACGCTTCGCAGGGCGAGGTATGGAACACTATGAACTAATTCTGTTAGTTAGAAATATCACCCACTAAACTCTCGTCATATTATCTCAGTGTCTTGTGATTTGCGTATTTTGATTTTTTTATGATGACATCTCTTACAAGCTTGTTTCACCCTGCGCTGCTATCCTTCTATCAGCTAATGCTCGCTTAGCAGATGGTGGCGGTTACACTGTATTCTGAATGTAATAATATATGAATCTATCTTAATACGTGTCTTTAATGTTTTTCGGTGGTCCTCGACAGGCTTGGTAGCATTGGTATTCTCTTGGTTTTAATGGAATGGGGCTGCAGTTGATACGGAGTCTTTTTCTGAAATTACAAGTTTACTAAGCTGCTTGCTGGTCCCCAATTCGTTTCTCAGTCTTCTGGAATATTTGTACTCCAGCGGAGGTGGTGGGTTCTACTTGTACATGAGTAAATAATCGGCTTGGTCGGCCTGTGCACAGATGCAAAAAAAAAGGTATGACCTGTAAGAAGACTAGCATATGTTCTAAAAAATCTGGTTTGGGTTTTTCTGTGTTCGCAAGGAGTGGCCTGTCATCTACTTTATATAGTCTTAGTTTAATGGCAGACTCAAATTACGCAGCAGCAAGAGGGTATGATGGAATGTTGTATGAAGATTGCTGGCGCCTGCTATTACACATCTATCTTGAATTTTTGAAGTGTAGATCTTGTTCCTGTCCAGTCATCCTGTGGTACAGCCTGCTAGATTGCATCCAAGATAATCTTTATATGGTCAAATGGTAGGAAAATTTGCTGTTTCTATGACGAACGGCGGGTATTAGGGGAGCGGCGTTGCTCTTAAGAGTACTATGTTAGCTTCCAGAGGCATATAATCATTTTCCAGGAATTTAGGCTGTTGTGCAGGGATCTATTACTCTTATGATCCCTGGGCTACGTCTTCCCAAATGGTCGCTTTGAACCGGTCACCTGTAGAAAAATAAGATGTTATTATCTTAGGCGCAGATATGGTCTTCTTTCCTCCTCCTACCGAGGATGTTATTGCCTAATATATAAATACTAGTCTATACACGCATTATTCAAGATAACTAAAAATAAATAATATACATAGGACTCTTGCATTCAAGACAATGGACATGAATACCCAAAATCTGTGATAAATATACCGCAAGAACTAGATATATTATTTACTAATTTATAATTACAACCCACTGTGTTTCTTTTATAAGCAATTCTTTGTCAATCTTACAAGTCTCATTCGAAATAGACAGTGGTAGTAAAGCAGACTGTCCATTAACAGCTTTGAGTTTAGAAAATCCAGATTAAGGAACAAAGCAAGTAGAGTCTAGTATTCCCAGCTGGTCTGTAATAATAGAAAAATAAAGCTAAATATCCAGGGAGTCTTACTCAGCAGAGGCTATCTGAGAATAGATTATCTCCTGCCACCACACCGAAGTGGCACTTTGCATTGGTCCAAAACTATCTGGATTTAATAAAATGCTTTTGAGAAAAGTTTCCTCTTCTGCAGGAAATATTTCTACGGAGAATCCACTGACGCGGTTATTATTCAACGAAATAGACCAAGCATGAGACTGAGAACTTCGGCTGACTTTAGGAAATACTTCTAAATATAATATTAATTTCTGAGAACGGGCTCTTGCAGTCCGCGATCATTTCTTCTTGTTTGACGGCGAGAACTTATAATCTGGATGCGTTCTAGTATGCTTTTGTTTCTCCATCACCACGAGTGTCTTGTACTGCTTACGGATGTAGGAGGGTTCCATCTTCCAGCTCCGTCCGGTGAGGATGGAGATGGCCTAATAATTATTATAGACGAGCTAGTATCTTGCTCGATCACTGTACGCCAGCCGGTACAGCATGAATAAATTCATCAGACGTGGAATCTTGCCATGCCGTTGTAGAGCCTCCTGGTGGCGTGTCTCGACCGGACAGTCAACCCAGGCGCACATGTATTTTCGAAGGGGTGGCCCGCTCGATTGTGTGGCCCGCCCGATCGGTGATTACGTTAACTAACGTAAGCGGCAAGCGAGTCGGCCACGTAAGCGAGTCGGCCATTTATTGAAACTCGTCCGCGCCTCCGAAAGCGATGCTATCCAAACAGCTATTACACCACTAAAAATGTCTAAATTATTAAAAAAGTGGGTGGAATAAGAGGGCAGACTCTGCTTAGTAGTTAAAGTTATTTAGAAAGATTATATAAAGTTTATTTATAAAGCTGTACGTATTTTTCAAGTTCCTTGATTAATATTTTAAGATTACTTGAATGGACTCAAATTTTATAAGAATATTAGAGCCAACTCATATAAATTAATTTTTATAGAAAAAGAATCGCTTGAAAAATGGATTATATTATTAGATCAATATAGTACACTATTAAAGCATTTTCAAGTCCGTGAAATAGTAAATCTACTACTTTAAAAGCGCGGTTAAAATATAACTATTTCTATCAGATAAAAATAAATTACTAACTACGTTTCAAGGCATGATTTCTTGAAAAGTTGATATAGCTGTTAAATAAATTATAAACAAGTAAAATGCGAAGAATCTGAAGCTATTCAGATATAATTCAGACGCGTACAAACCGCTATATTAATATACGGTATTATTGATAAAGATATCTATAATTTTGATGAAACTGGCTTTGTTATAGATATTCTAGATACTACTAAAATTATTATATATTTAATATATCAAGGAAGATCCTTTCTTATATAATTAGAAAATCGCGAATAGATAATTTCAATTAAATATATCAATGCTGCTGGATGGGCGCTGCCAGCATATTTAGTATTAAAAGTAAAAATACATATTCAAGCTTAGTATAAAGAAAGTCTACCATTTTTCTGGAGAATCACTATATTACTAAATAAATAAATAATATAAGAGATTAGTCAAGCATGGCTTAAAGATTACTTTATTTCTTACATTAAAATATAAAGAACAGGCCAATATAGTCTTCTTGTATTTGACAGGTATGATTCGCATTTAACATCTTGATTTAATAATATATATTATTAAAATTAGATTATACTTATTTGTATGCCTGCTAATTTCTTATATTTATATTAGTTTTTAAATGTTGCATGCTTTTCGCCTTTAAAGAAGACTTATTAAGATTAAGTTTAACAGCTTATTTATATGGGATATTATTATATTAAGAAGATTAATTTTCTTAATATATATTTAAAAGCCCATACTCAAGCGTTTATTAAAGTAAATATATAAAGTATTTTTAAAGCTTCAGGTCTTGTTTTTCTAGATTTTAATAAGATATTAAAAAATTTAATTTTTAAAGAAACTAGTTATTTAAGTAGTTAAAGTACCTCTTCTTCTTTGATATTTATAAAAACACCAAGAAATTTAAGATAATTTAAGAAGTACGAGTCTATATTATCTTAATTATTTTAATAATAAGATATACCAGCTATACTAATACAGTCAGCCTTATCACACATTTTTAAAGATGTGGAGATTATTTTAAATTATATAATACTACTTGAATATAAAAATTATTAACTACGTGAAGTTCTTGAAAAACGAACTACCAAGCAGAAACGCAATTAATATTAAATAGATGGTTTGAATAATTTTATTATATAAGAAGTGCTTGAGGCTTTTAACTATGCTAGAATATTAGAAGAACAAGCTGGAGATACAGATTCTAAAGAGAATTAATCACGCCGTCGGGTATCTTCTAGATGTAGCGCGTATTATATTATAGAATATATACGTACTAGATGTTCTAATTGAGTAGTATCTTGAGATAGAGCTCTTTAAAGCGTTGAATTAGATGTTTAAAAAGCTTCATTTTTGTATGTAAATCAGAATGATGATCTACTAGCGGGAGGTGGCCGACTCGCTTACGTGGCCGACTCGCTTGCCGCTTACGTTACTAAGTATTAGTCAGCAGAAAAACAATTTGACCAATAGATTCATTATATCTTTATATATATTCTAATTTACTAGTAAATTATTAAGAAAGAAGTGGAAGAAGTATGGTGGTTTTAGAAAACTAGGTCGGTTTGATGATTCGGGCGGGAAAGGCGGAATACATGGAGACTTTTGACGTAGAACTGTACATCGAATGATTATGGAAGTGAATTTCACTCCGGTCAAAGTTCAAATAGTGAACGTTCGTCCACTCTGACCTGCATGGAGTCTTTTAGGCTGACTTTTTTGCTAGGTGCACTTTCTAGAGTGAGGGAGACGATTTAGCCTTGGAGATTCGGCTGGCTGTCAACGGAGATTGCTCACTCAGGTTCCCACTACTCTTCTTACCCGAAATAAAGCACATTTTCGTCACCTGCCGAATAGGCAGTCATGTGTAACATATCTACAATGTCTAACTTACCTTAAGCCTCTATGTAGAAGGGTGAAAATTAGTATGTAAAGAAAGAGAAGGCTGAGCAATGTTCCTTCTTTTCGCATCCGAAACGGGATTCTCGTTCCTGTAGAGGTTAAGATGGCAGACACTCATGCCCGAAGGCCGACTTGTGCCCAACGGGATTGCCACCTAGTCAGAATCCCTCAGTAAACCAGTAACTTCACTGTCACTGCGCTACGCCAATATCGAGGGACAGAAGATACATATCGCACGCACTGCGATTCTCATATTAAATCATATATAACGTCAGATTTTCCCCCATATCTGGGATCTAGCGAGGTATCCTACATTTGACCATAGTGGACGGTTCTGCTATCCGATGCTGTGGATATGCTCCTTTCCAGGGACTTCAGTTCAGTTGCAAGATATTCTGAAATCAGAACTCATTTACGAGTCAGTTTGGCCCTAATCCTTTCCCCAAACCAATAAAACCCATATGGAACAAACACCATAGCCACTCCAATAAAGGCTAATAGCCACGACGCCCATTGTAGACCCAGCCGCTCATACATCTGTGTTGTGAACAGCGGAAACGCAGCTCCGCCACCTGATCGCAAGAACACTTTCGCGGCCAGCGCCGACGCCGCGTACTTCTGGTACGAGTCGATGATATAATTATTCACCGCGTAGTAGCACAGCACCATTCCGAATCCAAATGCGATGCCCGATGACGCAGGACCGACCCAGATGATATGCTTGAACGACGTCGCGCCGAGAATGAACATCGCAATGGGGATGAATGGTGCACCGAGTAGGGCCCCAACAAGTCGATCTTCAGGCGTGGGCGCCCGCGTCCGACATACTCGCTTAAACTGTCTCTCAATCATGGGGGTGATGAGGAGCGAGAAGCCCGCGCCGATTAAGATAGGAATGAACATGAGGCCGATCTGGCCATCATTGTACCCGTATAGCTTGCCAAAAATGACGGGGTAGGCGAAGAAGTAGGCGTAAAGATAGGCGTAGATGAGCACGATATACATGCACATCAAATCCAGCACAGGCTCGGTTAAAATCATCGTGATGGGCCGGATGAGACTGATGCGGACGATGTCGCGGAAAGTCGGCCTTACTTGCTCCTGCTCCGTGATGATATTCGTGTTCCCGGTTTCCTGGCGGAGTTTCTTTGCACGGCGTTTGAGGATGACCGGGGCATATGTCTCTGGGATGAGCCCAACGATAACCATTATTACTCCTGAGAAAGCCATATTGGTCCAGAAGAAGAGATCGAGCCTGTGTGAGCCGACATTGATCCAACCGCAGACTATGGGACCAATGACAGGGCCGCAATACGGTGCGGCAGCAAAGTAGGCAATGGCCATGCCCCGTTCTTCGATGTTCCAGATGTCCGCGATGGTGCCGCCGGCCAGAGAAAGACCGGAACTGGAAAAGACGCCGCACAGGAACCGGCAGGCAAGGAGGCCGCCGATGTTTGGCGACAGGGCGCACGGGATCTGAAAGACGGTATATAGAGCCAGCGAGATAATATATACTTGTCGTCGGCCAATAATCTCCGATAACGGAGACCAAAGCAACGGGCCCACGGCAAATCCGCAAACCATGATGGAACATGTCAGGATAGCCACTTCCAGGGAGACGTGATACTTTTCTTCAATCAAGCTCAGACCCCCAGTGACAATAGCAGAGCCATATGCGATGCAGACAACTAGGGCCGATACGACCATCGTGATATACCAACGATACAGACGAGACCAATTTAACGGGTTTGCCGGGTCGTTAATCTGGAAAGTCACAAACTCATACGGCTTACCCGCTTTTTCAACAGTGGGAGCTGAAGGCCGTCGTCCTCCGGTGGCAGAGGACCGGATTCTCTCAAGGGTCCTGACTGGAACCAAGCCAGTTTGCGTCTCGACGGTGTATTCTTCCGGGAAGAGGGGATCTGCCGGACGCCCAAGTTCAGGATAGTTTACATCAAGGGGTGGACAGCTTTCCGTCACTCTCGATACTCGAAGAGTCTCCCGTGTTTCTGTCCCCAGGACATTGAGGCTGGGTAGTTGAGTTTCACCGGATAAATTTTGCGACATGATGAATGCGTAGAATGTGAAATATAAGCTATACGGTTGAAAACGGTTAAGCTGAGGTCAAGAGGCTTGAACCGAACTAAATGGGCAAAGAGATGTACTGTGTACTCCGATGACGTAGATGACCATTTCAGCATTCTGGCAGGCATGGCTCAATATATACTCGTCATTATAAATTCTAATTGATTTTGAGGGAATGGTCTGCAATTCTGCATTTTGATTTTCTCATCAAAAGTGGAGTAAGCAACTGAAAGCTACCAATCATCGCTCTAATCAGCTTTATAATTTTCGCGGCATCTCCGATGAAGTCATGACTTTTTTATACCTTCGAGTTGAATAATATGACAATGTATCACTTCGTGATCTGCATTTAATCCACATATATCCAATAAATCCGGTGACCTTCCTACGGGCTGTTTTTGCCCCCACCAAAAAAAAAATGCAAAGTGTAACGAGAGAAGAAAATGATGAATTGCAGAAATCCAAAGCTATCTAGATGGCTGCTATTACAGTAGCGGGAGGAAACCTCGGCACCGAGAAAGTTCTGAAAGAAACAACTAGCCGTCTGTTATGTCAGCATCCCACCAGGCGCAGAATGCAGGCGGGAGTTGGTTCGCTGACTACATTTCTTTGCAACAAAAGACACGGTTGAGAAGTCTCGTACTGGAAGGGTGAATTAAAGGGTGGGCTGCGACAGGGAAAGAATACACGGATCTTGTGGATGAATATGATGCATCTGTTTGGGCTGATTGAATATATTATGCTGATAGGTCTGCCGGGTAGGAGCAGAAGGAAAAATCAAGTCATGCTCTCTTAAGCAATCTAAGTTGATTCAGCAATGTACGTATTCGACGCAATGTATACAAATAAGCATTGATTAGGCTAAACTTTTTTTGCCCGCGTCATTTTATCCTTGGCCTGTTTCTCTTCCCGCTCGCTGAACCGATTGCCAAAAAGCTCTAGGCGGGGCCGCATGAGGGTATATTTCATAAACTCCTCCATGCAATCTACAGTCGGTCCCGATTACTACTGGACAGGAGTCTCTGGTCACCTGGTTGACCTTCATCGGGGAAATATATATACACTTTGGGGATAGATGACTGATTTGGAATGGTAAATATGCGCATCCACCTGCCGAGAATACGCAGCGAGTTAATGGTGTTGAATGATTGCGAGCCGCCGTATACCTGCGGAATAGCCAGCATACGGCCCTGCGTGGGATGCATGCTTCCTGTACTAAGCGGTATCTAGTGGACCTGATTTTTAAACGCAGCGGTCTGGAAGGTTATTAATAGCTGAAATAACAGAAATTGGGACAAGGAATACTAACCAGATTCCCGTGCTGTTCAGGCAATATCCAAATATACTTATCACTCTGTTGCCTGAACTATCGGGCCCTGCACTTAAGAATGACTGTGATTGGTATTATTCTTTACTAGTAGATTCTTAGGATTAAACACACGGACATCACACCCTAGACGGAAGAGAATCCTGCTAGCCTTTAATGCCACAAGGCAAGAATAGAACCTCCAGCGGAGACTGCCATATAAATTAGCATTTTTACCTTGTTATTTAATCCTCGCAGTTCCCGCGCTGCCATGTCCATAGCCATTATTAACTCTAAGTTATTGACCCAGTCCTCAGCTGAGTCTTTCTTAAGAATAAAGAGGCGATATGTTTGACGGATATTAGCATTGTCCTCGCTTCCTGATATAGCAAGAGACTGATATCCATAGAAGGAAGCGGAAGGAGGCCCCGGCTGGGCAGCAGCTGGACTAGCCGTCGTGGTGTATTTCCTGGAAAAGAAAGGAATCAATGTATGGATAATTGAAGTAGATTTGCGCAGGGAGGGGATTTCTGAACGGCCGATCATTGAGTATATCCAATATAGCTCTTTATTCGCCCCCGTGAAGCTATACTGGTGTAGTGTTGAATCGCTGTGCGTTCGTAGATTTGATGTAAATTGCCCAGAGCGGTCGACGGCGAATATGTCACTAGCGTATGCTAATTGGACAGTACCACTCCGCAGCTAAATCTTTCATTGGCAGGACTTGACTGGGCTATTGGGCCTACGCTTATGTAATGAAAGAGAAATTTTAATTCACTTAATGGCTGGAGTCTGCTTCAATATATTATTTTTTTTTCAATTATAAAATCTGATGGAACTTGATCTATTTTATGATTTATTATATAATTAAATTATATCTAGTTGTTGAGAGCTTTATCCAGTACTGGGATTATAATAATATTAATTATCTTTATTCTATTTTAATAGAATAGAAGCAGTTAGAATATTTACTTAAGTTTTTATATTTTTTTTATCTCCTGCCTGTCAGAGAACAGTAGGCCTATAATTTATAAGGTTTATAATATTTATAATAATTTTTTAACTATCTCGACCAGTCTATTAATTGGCTGGTACGGAAGCAGATATTTTAAAAGAAAAAGATTCTCCAGGGCTTGGAGAATATATATCAGAAATTTTATAAGTACTACCACCGGATCTAATAGGCTGAAGGTTATATTTATATAATTATAATAGTTCTAGATTTTATATTAAAATTTAAAAAATTCAAGAAAAGCGCCTGATTAGATAATAATATTAACTGGTATCTTAAATACCAAACTCTCTTTGAAAAGACTTTTTATTTTTACTGCTAGTAAAATCTTCCTATTAATATATTATTCTTAATCTTTAATATATTCTCGGGTCTGGACAAGATCTCTTATAATATTTTAAAATTTGAGAAATTTTTGTCTTCTGCAGTAATATTTAAGAAACTCAAGATTTATCTTAATATTAAAGATATATAGATTATCAAAGACTAGAATATTAAATTAATTATTTTTAAAATTATACTTATATTAGACATGGCAGGGCTCGCCCGAAAAGCTCGGGACCGCCCGGCTCGGCTCGTGCCAAGAAGACCCCGAGCCTGCTTATATAAGGCTCGCGAGCTTTTTTTAAATATTCAAAGCTTGCCCGCCGAGCTTCGAGCTACCCGGCGAGCCTGCCAAGCATTCCTATTAGTTCTGGTATTTCAACTCTACGCGTAAGAACGCGTGGTTTTAAGCCACGCGTTAAATCAAAACAAATAATTTTTTTTTTATTAAATAACTCCATCAATTTTCAATATTTTCAAAAACTAATTGAACGTAGTGAATCAGTGCAGTGAATAGATATTTTTAATATTTTTTAGTATTTTTTTAACTTCCTAATTAGGCTAGTTCTAGCTTAAGTCAGATTATATTCAAAGATATATATTTTATCAATAGAATGTCTATTGATGTAAAACTATTGAAATCAAAAATTTCAGGTAAATTAAACTAACTAAATTAGGCGGAGGCTAAGCCTAATTAAGATGTTTTTCCGTTCCGAAGTATGTGATAAGCTCGAAGTGGGTTCGACGGGCGAGCCTAGCCAATCAGAAATTTTCCCGGCCCCGAGCCGAGCCTGGCCAATTAGAGCTCGAAGCTCGAACGGGCGAACAGCTGACCCCTCGGACTAGCTGACTCAGCAAGCGATCGGTTTGGCGCTAGTTATTCAACCTGGCGGAGGCAAACAGCCAGACAGATGTATGGCCAATTGGCCATGACGCCAAGTAACGCGATCACGCGTTTGTGTGGGAAGCGACCGATTGTTCTCCTATTGGGTGGCCGGTAGGCCAGCTATTTAGCTGTAACTGCCTACTAAACAATGACTAAGCGAGGTCAACCCCAGGGCAGGCGGAAGGGGACGTCCGTATGTTCCGACAGTTTGCACACAGCCACACACTATGCTTTCCCGTATTTTTCCAAACTAGTTGCACATGGTCACATTATATACATTCTTACAAAAGGAAAGCCGCCCAACTGCCTGCTAGAGGGCCTAACATATCTAACATGAGAGAAAAATAGAACCCTCCTTCCAATGCGTATCGAATGTACCCAGTGGCTCTAGCATGTAAATCAGGTTACGCCGTGCCCGTTGGTGCCGGCACACGATACTGCTGGCTTTATACCATGTCCGGTGGCCGACATACTGGCTCGGGGCGTTTGATAGACGCCTCGGGTACACAGTCCACAAGCCGGTTTGTGCTCCGACCGCGAGCGTGCGTGGCCTCCTGCGGTGGCACACCGTCCGGGTGGTAGTGATAGCGCAGTCGATCCAGGGCGCTCCGGAAGTCATCCAAGATGATGGTGTCGCTCAGGCATTTGAAAACAAACGCCAACTACAGCAGGGTTAGCATGCTGATCTTCTCGTCAGTGGCGGCCGCTCACCTTCCAGAACGGCTCCATCCCCGGGGGGTAGCCTAGGCGATTCTCGACCCGGATCGCATACATGTCCACCACCGCAAACACAACGGAGATCACCATGAATAGGAGCATGACGCCGAACCGTGGGCTGATGCGGATCAGCTGCATCAGCGAACATCCATACCCACGCTGGATGATGTACAGGAGAAAGCAGGTGGTGAAGATCCACCAAGGGTCCCTAGATCTGGATCAGCAACGCGGGGTGTAGGGAGGATCGCACTCGGACACCGCACCGGAACAGCGGCTCGAGTGGCCGAGTGGTGGTATATAAGGCCTGGCCCCGATTGAAAAAGGCAAAGTTGGCATAAATATCGACGACCCAGTAAGGCTGGGCCGCCAATCACGTTGTGGAGGGAATGCGAAATTGTGAGACCGACGGCCGTAACCGAAAGATACCAGCCCTGAGCAGGTGCATGGAGAAAGGTGAACGTTCCGTGCCCGAGGGCCAGGGCGAGCTAAGCGTGCGCATCAGCAGGGGATAGTGCCCCATTCGCCCCAAAGACACAGCGCAACCTACCTCTGCCACGATGAGTTTGTGCAAAAGCATCCCTTTTTTCATGTTGGCCGCGGTGATGGCAATCATGACAACAAGGGAGCCCACCAGGAATCCTTGTCCCCACGCCTCCATGACAAGGATGTCCGGGTCTCTGGGACGATGGCCAACACTCAGCGTCATGATTCCGCTCTCATCTCGCTCTATCAAAGGAGAGTTGAAGGAGGTCCCTGCATTGAAGACGAGACGGCGTTTAAATCATCGGGTGTGATTGAGCAAAGCGTTCGCCGCCCGGCATCGTCAACTGCCGTGGGCGATGGAGAGTAGGAGGGAAGCCGGCGACTGTGACTGTAACCAGCGAACGATCGACATAATACTAACCAGGGCCTTTCACTAGTCCAACGCTATCTCGAAGACTAAGATATCCATCGGAGTTCCAGCCGCGCCCTGCATGCGGGCGTCTTTTGCCGCTCCAGACGGGGAGTTTGATTACTGTAATCTGTAGAGTATCATCCGGCACTACCGTTGATGGAATAGGCCGAGCCTACTCAATCCTCCAATGTCCCCTCCTTACCTCTTAAGTGTCGGCCTGAAAGGACGACAGCGGATAGGAGAGTTACACTTTCCGACTATTGACTTTTAGCGGGATATGACATAAAGAACGGGAGGAAACGGCACGACGACAACTATTCTGGTTCCCTTTACGTCAATTGTACTCAACAGTATTTTTATGATTTATGACGACAAGAAATCTTTCTATTCCCATTTTTCCTTCCCCACTGTCTTCTCGGTTATAGTCAGCTCTGCTACTCCAACTCACACCTTGCATCTACTGCTGCGGAAGAACACTCTAACGGGCGTTGAGCCTCCGGCTGAGATAAAAATTCATCCCCTCACACAACAATGATTTCAGGGAACTGACAGCTGCAGCCTCGAGGGCACCGCTCAGAAAAAAAAAGAAATTACCCCCATTGGCGTGAACAAAACACAATTCTACCAAGCCCTTGATGAGGCGCAATATGAATCTCAAAGGCTCGAACAGGGATTGTGGCCAGACTCGTGCAGGGTCGATGGGGTTCTGCCGCAGACACTTCAGGAACTCTGCAACCTACGACAGCTATGTCGAGTTCAATCCAACGCCCTGGCTCGAGCTAGACGAGTGGTCGACAGTGAGCGGAATAGACCTCCAAGAGAGCTGTGGGGAACCTGAAGACACCCGAATGTGACTGGTGTGGAACAAAGGCACGAAACGTGGTTTTTGCTCCGTGTTTCCATCGCCTATGTCGCGGTTACGGCAGAGCTGGAGTTCCAGGCGCATTGGGTGATATGTTCCGAAGCTGCCAAGTCTGCTCTCTTCATAGCTTCCAGCAGCCCCGAAAGACATGAATGTATTGGCTATTGCTGTTCAGGCGGCTGCGCTGATCGATCGTGACATTGTCTTGCGGACAGCGACATTTACAATACGAGCCTGTGACTAAGGGGCGATATTAATATGGCGGTATGAATAACGGAGAATCATTAAGTTACTACGATAACGTGTAGAGAAACGTATTGTTGTAGATTAACAGTTGGTTCCGTTCTTCATCGTTACGAATTTTGGGTTTTGCCACTCACGATAAAATGATCGTAGTATAAGACTACTACCCAGAATGCGGAAATAGTGAAAGATATGACCATGTCCAACCTAACTATCTTTTATTCCAAGATACAAAATCTAGAGCAAAGACGGCGGATAACAATGAACAAGTACGGCGTCACCAGCAGTCCAAGGATCTTTTTCTTTTTTCTGCCAGGCGCGTTGATTCTGTGACGCTGGCATTGTATCAGACGGGAAGGAACATGGTCGCAGTTGTTATTAGTGTTCAGCCGAGGGTCGCCCAGGAGGCAGCACCATATCGAGATATCTCCATTTTCTTTTGCATATGAGAGAGCAGTCCGACCGCTTTCATCTTCTAAATTCGGATCTATGTCGTACCTCGCCAATAACTTATTGACAAGCGAATTATTGCTGGTCTGCACCGCAAGGTGGAGGTATGATGAACCCTGTCCATCCATGATATTCACAGCGATCCTGGTATCGTCAAGCAGCCGGCTTGCAACTTCGGGTTGGTGCACAACCACCCACCACAGTGGCGTACGTCCTCGAGTGTCTCGCACATTGACGTCCATCTCAGGATGTTGCAGGAGCAGCTCCACAACCGGCATATGCCCTTCGCCTGCCGCTATATGAAGCGCAGTCAACCCGTCAGTGTCTTGCGCGTTGACATCAACCTCAGGATGTTGCAGGAGCAGCTCCACAACCAGCATATCTCCTTCGCAAGCCGCTATATGAAGCGCGGTCAACCCGTTGGTGTCTTGCGCATTGAACTCTGCTTCGGACGCAAGCAGATTCCTAGCAACATGGCAAGAGCCCCTGTAAGCTGCCAGCGTAAGAGGAGCATATCCGAAGCGATCACAACAATCTATGTCAATCTCCAGGCCCTCAGAAAGTCCCTCAGTCGCTCTCAGTTGGTCTCTCGATAGTGCCCAGTATAGCAAATACATGAGATTATATCCTAGTCCGGCGTCAATGTCGGCATCATTGTCTTGAGAGGGCTGTGTGGCGGCTGCCCGATGGTCTTCATAAGCAGCTAAGTGCGAGCATACGTCAGTTGTGAAAGAAGTCTGCATAGGATCGTGGTCGCAGTGATCTTGGCCCATATTGGCAGCTGCAATCATGCAAATGAAGAAAGTGCCTTACCCAACTCTTACGATCATGCATATGAAGCGAGCAGGTTGTCGTGTTTTATATGTACTGATGTTTTTATTCTGTCTCTGATGACGTCGCTCTTTATCACTCGGGCTTTTCTCAGAAGTATAGCACGACTGGACCAAATTCCTTGATACCCATCTCAAGTCACCCAGGGCAGGCACTCGCTCCAGGATGGCGGACAACGCTCCTTGGAACATTTGCTGGGCTCCCAAGAAACCGTTTGGCAGTCCTTGGAGCCCGGTCTCTCCCACGTTTTACGTCTTTTACCGGCCAAGGCGGTTTGCTAGAAACTTTCCCTGCCACTGAGTCACCATAAGAATGGCGTCTGTGCCGGAGCCTCTATATACAATCGTTCCGTGCGCAGAATCGAAACGTCCTTTGCATTGACTCGATCATCTGCCCTGTTCGCCAAAGAAACCCACACGCACTGACATACCACGCCTACCCATTTTCCTGTGCTTTAAGTCCGAATTTGTCTGACAACACATCATGCTACTCGACCTTCCCAATGAGATTCTTTTGTGCATTGCTGAAAGTTTTGACCTGTCCCGCGACATCTTGGCGTTTGTCCAAGTCCAAACGAACGTCTCGCCTACTACTCCCGGTTCTCTACAACTTCAATATTGAAAAGCAACACAGCTCGGCATTATGCTGGGCAGCCCAGCGTGATCACTCGCTGTTGGCAGAACGACTTGTTCGAGAGTATCATGGCAATGTGAACGCTGTCCATGACGGCAACACTCCGCTTCTGTACGCCGCCTCGGATGGCTCAATCAAGGTTGTTGATGCTCTCCTCGCCAGCCGGCAGATCCAAGTTAACTGGCGGAATACAAAGGGTCATTCTGCCCTCTGGCGTGCGGCACGGTACGGATATACCGACATTGTTAAGCGATTATTGAAGCAAGACAACATCAAAGTCAATATCGCCGATCGAACTCAGGGGACAACGCCTCTGGCAGTGGCTGTAATACAGGGACATGCTAAGACTGTAGAGTCTCTCCTGACAGCTCGACGAATCAAAGTTAATATAAGGGACCGGCGTGGCTGGACACCGGTTTTTCATGCTCTTTCCCGTGCCATTTCCTACGGGGACCGGAGCATCTTAGAGATGATTCTTACAAGGCCAGACGTGGATCTTCTGCACCAGGATGAAGAAGGCCGTACACCACTCATATATGCTGTACAGTATAACGAAGTAAGCCTCACGGCGATGTTTTTGCGCCATCCAACATCCCGTACCGAGCCTCGGGATTTCCACGGTCGGACAGCTCTTTGGTACGCCGTACAACAAGGAAACACAGATATTATCCCGCTTCTCTTGGACAGCGGCGCGGATGTCGGTGTCCTAGACGATTATGGAGACCCCCCTCCATAAGTCCATTAAGGACGGAAACCTGTCCGCAACCCGGTTGTTGCTGAGAGATCCTACGGTATGGACCCCTGTGTTCGCGCTGCATGCGGTCAATAACGTGCTGCCACCCCTGTGCATGGCGGCTGATCGGGGAAGCATAGAGATGGTGCGCTCGCTCGTGGAATGTGGCTGGTACGTGAATGAGGTGGATGTAGAAGGGCGAACGCCATTACACTGCGCCGCGGAGAATGGACACGACCCAGTCGTCCAGGTACTACTGGCGAACGAGCAGCTTGACGTAAACGCACGAGACCACCGGAAGTCAACCGCCTTGCACGAAGCCGCCTGGAAAGGGTATTTGGCAGTGGCTAATCTACTCCTGACTAAGTCCAACGTTGATATCAACGTCGAGATAGGTACGGCTGCACTCCACTGTGGTATGCCACGCGACACGGTCACTATAACGTGGCTTTGAAGTTACTGGAAGAGTCAAACGTCATCGTCAATACCGTGTGTCGACTTCAGACTCAGCCTGAGAAATCAACATCGCTCCATCATGCGGTCAACTGCAATGCAACGCAGACCGTGCAGCGGTTGTTGGCCCGGACAGCTCTTAACCCGAACGTTACGGACGACTGCGGCCGCACTCCACTGAGCTGTGCATCCCGCGCAGGTAACTTGCCAATGGTGGAGCTCCTGCTGAGTCGATCTGACGTGCGAGTGAATTCAGCAGAGCAAAACGAACAGCCACCGCTGTGGTCAGCTGCTTCGCAAGGACATATCCAGGTCGTCGAGCGCCTGCTGCAGTGTGGAGATATCGAAGTTAATCAGGGATGGGGCCCTTATTCGTCTCCGCTCCTGGCCGCAATAACGCGCGGTCATTCCGGTGTAGCCATGCGGTTGCTGAATTGCGTCCCACGGCCGGATGTCAATGCCCGGACCTACCTGGGGGATTCTGCTCTCTCTCTGACCGCTCGCGAAGGACATGTGGACGTGGTTGCGCGTCTCTTAGAGGACTGGCAGACTGACCGCAATGGTGCCGACAGGCAGGGACGCACTGCGTTATGGTGGGCGGCCCGGGCGGGTCAGGCTCAAATTGTGCAGCGGCTGCTGGAGGACGACCGGGTTCTAATCGACGTGATGGATAACGACGGGGTAGATGCTATGGGTGCCGCGAGGAGCTATTATCACTTTGAAGTGGTTTGGCTGATTCGGACTCATTACTTCGGGCGATACAGTAACTGGACAGGCGGTAGACCCCACAATTTGACGACTAGAAGTTAGAGCATTCAGAGCCTTGCCAGAAAACTTCCTTCCGCGGATTTGTACCAGCGGAGGGCCTTTGTCGAAACCAATGCTCGGCTCAGTGCTTGTCCTGGGACTGTCGGTCGTGCGGTCACTCGGTCCACTGTGCGATTAATTTGGATTGTTACTACCTAATCTTGTCTCCCTCCAACAGCGAACCGTCAGCGGCGCTAGATAGCTCTTGTCTTTGATGCGTCTACCGAAATGAGCCTATGAATATTAAATCAGAGAGCGCACAGTATATGTCCTTATCCATAGATTGCTAGGGTACTGTGCAGTTTTACTATATAATAGGTTTCTTTGCTTTTTATTTCCTTCACAATTTCTGAGAGTATCGAGCAGGTTTCTCTGGAATGCAAGCCACTGTTTCCTCGCTTGGCTTCGTCCATGTGCATTGAATGTCATTGTCGAACCCTGACAGAAACGTAATCAGAGAAAGCAACGCCGACAGAGTCGCAGACTTAGGAACAATCTTCTGGATTGCGAACAGGCGTCGTCAATACTAGGCCCCTGCCAGCGGAATGACTCAGCGAATGACCGGGTTACTACCTAGAGAAACTCCTTCCACCGTAAGGTACTCTTGTACTTCCTCATCCTGAGCGAGTCGACAGCGGCACGCAGGTCAGTCAGAATTGTTATGGCTGTGTCCACGCCCTGACCTGGTACACACTGTCCCCTGTGTAGGTTGTTCAGGCTGTGGAGTACGTGCGGAATCAGATCCTGCAGATCCTTCAGGAAAAAGTAGCACGAGCGGTGGTACGTGTTTTGGCCTTGTTGTCGACCGATCTGTCTAACAAGCTCGAGGATTTCATCCATTGTCACGGGAGTTGGATTATAGAGCAGTTTGCACGACACTCGTACCAGCAGGCAAGGGAAGAAAACTCCGTCACTGACTGACCATCACGGTTGGAAAATGCCGGGAAATGAGCGTCTTTAAGAGAATCATGTATCATTTGATGCGACGATATACAGGCTAGATGTAAATTCCCACTTGTAGCACTCTAGGGGGGTGGGGGGCTGGGTGGTAGGGCTGGCAATTAGTAGACGCAATGTACCTTTTCTCATCACTGAGCGGTCAGTTTGGTGACTACCAGGAAACCACCCGCAGCTGTTATAAATTCCCCAGACCGCAAATTATAGAGCAACCATACGGTTGCTTCTGAGATTGACCATGTGCTAAATACTAGCTCACCTTACTTTCATGATGGCGGGCACTTGGTATTCTAGCATTTCTACCCTTGACCCGCCGATTACAGGGATATTCGCATCACTTTGCAGTGGGTCGCAGATGGTGGATTACAGCGGAGTCAGCTACACTGGTCAACTCTCGTATGAACTGCATTTGACCGGAAGGCACTAATTAGCCGGGGGATCGCAGCAGCATATAAAAGTCCGTTTCAACGCCAAACCCTGAATGCCCGCGAGGTATCCCTCCAGAAACGTTCTGGTGTCATTCATACAATGCTTCTGTGCTGGCATATAAACAATGGCCTGTGTCCTATTTCCCACGATATTGCATAATCTGCATTCCCAGCGTCAGTTGGCACTCGCCAATCAAGGTCGCGTCACCAGCTGCTTCTTGACTTTGTGTAGATGGCCCCTTCTCAGAGCCGCGTTAAGCAGGAACAACTTCGAAAACGCCGCAATAACCTGCTACGGCGGATCAATGATTTTTGGCTGCTGTACGCCATCCGTAGCTGGGTCATTCTGGAAATGCCGAACCGCCAGATTTACACCTATCAGTCCCATCCTTATCTTCCCGCACCGACTGCTAAGGAATTGGTAAGCCGTGCTGCTCTAAATATTTGCCTTGGGCTCTGACAAGTCCAGGAGGACTGGTCCCAACCAGTCATTCACAGAACTCCTGCTGATTATACTACACAACCGATGACTAACGTGGTGATTTCACACCCACCCACGTTCAACATCCTAGGACGCCAGTACGACGGCTGGGATTCTCTCTTCAGCAAATGTGGAGTATAGTAGTTAGAGCCATAATACCAATAGAGCTTCTATTTATCAGACATGCCATTCAAACTCGCAGGCAGGGATATGGGAAGTGTAGAGAAGATTCTGTGACAAGTGGCTAGAAGCACCGGGGGCATTTCGAAAAGAAGTAGGCGTCTCGTAGGCCTGATGGCTGGCAGAATATTTACGAGTATAATGAACTCAGACGACGACTAGCATGTACAACGATGCATCTATTGGGAAAAAATGACTGTCACTGACCGATAATATCGTACTGCTTGACACGGAGTGCAACGCGAACGTGTCGTGTCACATATTTGAACTCGTGAAGAGGAAAGCAGTTTGATATAAGTTAGATCATCATTATGCGCTACAGTATGCAGATCGGACCACTGGCGAGAGGAACAAGGTTGTGCCCGTCCTCGAGTCCCCAATGTTGGCATGGGACCTAAATCGTGGTCATACATTCCGCACGAAGACCGCAGATGCAATAACATGTACTTTAGGGCAGCCGCTATTGAAATCTTGTTTCATTTATTCAAGCTCACACACTACGTACAAGCAGGAAGCGCATGATTGATTACAATTGATCGTCCAATTGTGTCTGTAGGTTGGCCACGCGTATGAGAGCGAAAATGATTTCCAGTTCTACGCAAACCCTGCCAGCACCCAAGTGATCGACACTTTCTGACAAGGGATTATTCCCCCGTGTTCAAGAATGATTGTCGGTCGACGTAGGCGTCCTGGTACGCATTTCCATCTCGTGCTCCTCCTCGACCTTCTTTAACAAGACGTATTTATACAGAACCGTCAGCGATAACGAAACTAAAAAGGCACTTCCGACCATCACCGTGGTGACCAGAGCCATGATAGACCAAGTGGCTGATTGCGCGGTGTATACATTGATCAATGTTGTAGCGAGGCCCGCAGCTGCATTCATCGCAACCGGCCTAAACTCCAATCAGCTTTCAGACGGAACAATGGGTGTACAGATACATAGCTGGGTCTGCGTACATAAATACCCGACCGACGAGCCAAATGTAATTGCTGCGCCATGTCCAGCAAAGCCATGTCAGAAGCGTAGTCCCTACTGCGAAGAACACACAGGCAATCGCGAGGAGGGGCGGGTTCTGAATCTTATTCAACACGGCCTTGTTAGCACCGTTGCCAATGAGAGCCTGCTCGAGTTTTTCCGACTTCTGCAAGGAAGTGAATGTTCCAGGAATCACTAGATATCCCGCAAGGAGCACCCAATGTGCGACGCTGGCAATGATGTTGTAGACCCACGGCATATGGTCGACTTCCAACAGCATCTGTATATAGCGAGTGTGCCCGGCAATGGGCGCCGGACTCGAGGCGGACACTGTGACTGAGTTTGCCGGAGAAGGTGTGCGGGAGTTCATGGCCGCGAGAATCGTTAGCCGCTCCGATACGTCGCACCCGGCATCACCGTATTTTAAATACCTTTGGAGGATACCCTCCCATATTACAGTTGAAGGCAGCATATGGTATAAGTGGACAAGACACGAAAGCGGGGGCATGGAGATATTGCTGCCGCGAGGGCTGACCGGCAGTGGCGTTGGAAATTAGCCAGACCGCCACATTCTTGCCTTGGGTCCCAAAAACTACCATGATACAGTAGTCTTACTGTGCTGTGGGTGAATCCCTCATTTCCTTGACTGCTTGCTTCAACATCCTGTATTCTACAATGAGAGGATAATTCGTATCCTCGAGTTTTAAAGTAAGAGTAGCCCAAGGGGTTGCGGACCGATGAGCATGGCAGCCAGCTGAAAAGAACACGGGGACATGGCTGATATTGACAGATAGCGATAGTATGGTCGGCAAATCACCGCTAGGGACGAGGATTTAGCGGATGATTACTTAACGAACTAACTGATCCACAGCATCATATTCTACTACGTCTGTCAAGTTCGTATAGTACCGTACCAAGACCCGTTCAAATCATAATCTTCTGGATGTAGTCCAGCTGTAGTGGTGAATGGTGCACGAAAGACCCTTTTAGACGATCTGTCCTGTCACTGCGTAAGTAGAGGACCTCGCAAATCGCAATGACGAGGTGGCCAGGTCAGTTTGTTAGTGCCTTGAGGCCATCAGATTTTGGTGTTCGGGAAGGTCCGAGTCTAGCCTCCTTTGGGAAGTCGTTCAGGGGTTCAACTCGAAGCCTCCAAACACGCATGGAACGAATATTACTTGCTCAAGTTTCGCCATCTTTGGCTTAGAACGTCGAGTAATGAGATCAACACAGGGTTCTTCGCATTCCTGACATGTGGCTACCTTAGATTACCAGCTCAGCGAGCCTTACTGTATCTCTCGAAATGGATGATTGCGTGTATCATAGTCCTCGTCCACACACGGTTAATGATATATATAACTATATGTAGACATAACCACCCATGCTATCCAGATCAGTGTCAAGAACAGGAGACGCTCTTACATCCCCGGGGCACACATGCAAGACCAACTGGTACACCAAACCAAAATGCAATAATGATACCCCATGGCACGCCTAGATATGAGTGAAAAGGCGAGGGAATGAGTTGGTTGCGTCATGAGGACTTAGAGCAGGAACGCAGTGCCGCGTACGCAATCGTCCCAACGACAACCCCTGCTGCCCTCTGGACCCAGATTACTAGGGCTGTTCACGATTTGCCTATTCGGGATTTTGACGATATGAAATCGGCAAATCGTCAAAGCTACTTAGTTAAGACTGGTATATAAGAATTTGACAATTTGACTTCACATAATCGTAATATGTATCTAATCAATCGTCGCCAAAACTGCTCTCTGTTTTGCAAAAGAAAACAGAGACAGGCCAATATACTTCTCTCGCGCGGGCGACCCCCGGCTGAACATCAACGAAATAATCAACCCGTTTGGCTCCCCGCGACATCAATGTCACACCTGCTCCGAAATGAAAGAGAAAACGATCGCGGGATATATGCTGGCACTGTTTTTGTTGGTTGCCATATTCCTTGCTGCCGCTTGGAGTCCCACATGTGATTGGCCATTTAGTAGATAGTACCTATACTCGCAACGGTCGTGTTGCCGACTCTTACAGCAAACCATGGCAATGACTTCAGAAGTCCCGTCTGTTTTGGCAACCTGTCAAGGTCTGCGCAAATGCGAACAATGCATGCTTGTATATCTCTCTTCTCTCAGTCTGATTGCATTTTGCTGACGAATACTGATATGTTTGCTGGAGCCTAGTGTCCAGTTTTGTTGCTCTCGGGGACCTTTGAATTGTGATATTTGTGCAGACACGTTGGCTGGATACAGGAACTTATGTGGGGTACTTTTTTCCTTCGTAGTTGCTGTTAAAATATGAAATAAAGCCAGGCCGGAACGGCCATATACGCTTTCACTCTTTCCTCCTAGTTAGTAACCTTATAGTCATCGATATTAGATAGGTCCTACCACGCCAGCCAGACTCCCTCAACACTGGTATCCGCTCATGCCAAGCTTTTTGTTCTAGATAGACCTGGGAAGGCGCTCATCTGACAGTTCCATCCATGTACATATAGAGGCCGGTTAAAAACTTCCCAAAAGTCGTTGGGGGAAGTCCGGTATCTTTGGAGGCTTTTTGAATACCTATTGTACCGCGCAACGAACGGAGACTCGGGCGTCATATAACAGAAAGACATCCATACGAAAATGTAGTACTGCCCATTACCACCTATTGGTGATAATGATTGCGTATGATGCGACTATCAATAATCACAGCTTGACGACCGTATCTCGCTGGGGTAAGATAAAGGCGAATTGGATATAAACTCCACAGATGGCGACATAGTTCAATTACAAGTGACTGTACCAAGAATTATTGCAGGGTGACTACTGATACTTGCAAGCCAGCCCCTACCACATGGTGCCATTTGTGGGTCGACGTAGGTTAAGCCTGGCAATTCCGCCGACTGTGAGCTATAAGGACTCATACATTCTATCATCTTCTATTCTCCTAACAAGCTGTGCTTGGACTGAGTTAGTCGCGATAGGTCTTCTAAATATGCGCATCGTTAAGGTGTTGACACTCCTGGAATATGCTCCCTGTGGATACTACCTAACAGGATCAACAAGCAAAAGTCCCGTCATGGCAATGCCGGTTATCTTCTGATAATACATCAAATACCGTGCTAGGTATGACCGGTTTCTAGAACTATTCGGAGTGCCCGAACGATATTACTCATGGTATGGGTGACAGTGTTGCTTGGAAAAGCCTGGTTAAGGTGGCAGTTCGTTGGTCGAGCAAATTTGCTCTTCATGAAAGTGCGGTTGAAATTCACATGCCACCGGGAATATCCATGAGTCAGCCTGCGAGTTCTCGGACGTCGATGGCTCCCACGAGCGACACGCCCGGTATTATGATAGTGATGATTGCTTCGAGAAACGAGCACAGTTTTGCTACGACGTGATACACTCTCATGATTGTTCTTCGTCTTCCCGGTTCATTGTGTAGAATGAGGTCTAGCAGCTCGAAAGACGGAATCTCATGGCGCACCTCCCTGCGCGGGCAAAGAAGTGGAAATGATTTCCTGTCAATGCCAAACTTATATTAGGTGATGCACTGTCTCAGACGGTCCACACAAAGAACTGCGTCTGCCTGTCTTTGCTACGTTATTATAGGCTTACATCCTGCCATGGCTAGCTACGTCTTTGTTGCCATCGATACGGTCCTCTCTACCGTGAAGGTTGCATTGGATTGCCGGACAATGGAAATCCCTGCCCCCATACTGTGAATCTAGAGTCGCGTGTGACGGCACACACAGAGCTGCAACTACTCGAAGACGTTACGCATTTGACTACCAGGAAGCCTAGCGTCAAAAGTGTGACAGAGCTTCTGCTATGTGGATCCCACCGCTGCGCCCTGGTTCGCTCGACGAAGCACAGGCTTAAGGTCCGCCACTGCTTACAACGATGTTCACTAATGAAATTTCCAGACATTTCTCGCTACTGAATTATATATATAAAATAAAAAAAAAGGCCAATCCATTGGTTCAGGAAGCGCCCTCTCACCCTCTTCCTCGACTAGTTGGAGGAATCAGTCAGGAGTCAATTGGAGGCCCAATACTGCAACGAACAGAGTCATCTTCGGCCTTGCGTGTTTAATTCGTGTTGGCATAGGAGCGATAACATATGCTAAATTTATATCATGTATTCTCGCTCCTGGCCTCTTTGTATTCAAGAACATGTCATATGCCATGCTACGCATGCCCTGCCCTCATCGTCATATACAATGACGGAAAGCTCGCTCGTAGGATGTAGTCCTCTTGCCCAACACAATCGTGATTGGTCTTTTCCAAGAGTCTCCTTGTCGCCTCAAGCAAGAGAAATTGGTGATGTCGGCCTTCAGGCATCCTGTTACATCCCATCCGCGCAGCCAGATTGCCATGGAGACGGCGGGTGTGTGCCTTCCATCCGCTGAAAAGCCGGTTGATCCGCATTTGACACTGCTCGATCTCCATTCCACACTGCGAGTCGCCCAGCCATACAATTGCAAACACTCGGGCTGAGTGCAGTTGCTGTAGTAGACGACGATGATCCTGTAGCTGGCGGTGCACAGCCGCGTGACGGATGCCCTCAATGTCAGCTCGCAACCGATTCAGCCCCTTTGGGATGATCGAAGCCTTAGATGCGGAATGGATACGGCTTCTTCGCTGGAGCGCTCTAAACGCCATGTGCAGTTCCACCTTCTCGGCACAATCCTATCCGTTTGACTGGCCGAGCTGGGGGTGGCATTTCTGGATAGACTCGAACGCAGAGCGCTCCAAGCGCTGCTGCAATACCCGTAGAACGTGGTGTTGAGCGGGGAACAGTAGACTCGTAAGCGGTGGCTGAGTCAATAATTTCGGCGTCATTGGCTCTTCTGACCAGATGGTCTTCACCTATTGCTCGACTATTCTATAGTAACAAGACAGTGCGACGTTCCGACAGACTATATGATCCAATGAGTGACTCCACCATATATATCTATAGTATTTTGTCAACATCCCAAACAGATGCCATGCAGTCCAACCTTCCATCGCTGGCGACCTCGTTCCGAAACCAGCTACGCAGGGACTCTAGCTTTCCGCGAGCAAACCAACCTCAGCTGCGAGGCCGCAACCTCGAACAAACTTGGGCCATGTGTTGGTGAGGACGAGGTCTTTGATGCTCTCCTCGGCTCGGTCAAAGACCGTCGCATTGAATGTTTGGGGGATTTCGCCCCAGTATTGCGCCCGACTATTGTCGGTGAATAGCAAACCGGAGTCGGCCTTTATGGAGGCGATCGGAGACGCTGAGGGCGTGGGGCCATAGCCTGGCGCATCAAAGGGAACGGCAGGATTGGCCGGGCGCGCGTGTCCAAACAGAAGCCCAGCAGGGCCCTCAAAAACGTTCTCCAGCTCCTTCTGGTGCTGCGAAGAGATGTTGATTGGAAACTGCGCGCGACCACTGATGAACGTCGTGTAAATACACAGCGCGCGGTAAAACTGCTCCCGAATCAAATCGGTAAGATCTCCATAGTCTGAGATTCTGCTATCCCAGACCGCATGGGGCAGCGAGCTCTTCCATTCTGCCACCCGGGTCAGAAAAGCTATATTCTCTCCAGAAAAGTCGCGATGGGCGGAGGAATCCTGCAGCGGGGCAGGATTGAGCGCCAAGACGCATTCAAGCGCACGCTTGGTGAATATGCTATCCCGAGAGCTGGAGCTGGAGCCAAGAGATCTATCCCATGATTCCCGGCCAGACCCTGTGAGCTCGACAAGAATGGAGGCTGACCTGCGGGCCGTGGTGCCATCAGCAAAAGGATTGGTATTGGGTTCCCACCGTGCGATCGAATCGAAGGCCCCTTGTCGGATAGCGTGATGGCGCATTACCTCTCGGCACGGCAGGAGAACAGCAAAAACCTCCATCACCCAGATAGAGAGACAAATCCTACAAGGGTCAGCCCCGCTTTCCTGCTTCTTTTCTTCTTCGTTTCTATTTTCCTGTTGGTCACAGAGAGCACCTACCACTGGGGGGGTAGCCAGTACTGATTGACCGGCTCCATGGCGGGAACATGGAGGGCGATGAGCCACATCGGCGTCGCCGGGAGACTAGATGATGGATCAGTCGTGCGACAGACCTCATCAGACCGATTGACTCACTTGGCGATGACGCAGCCTATCGTCTGGACTCTCCAGCCGTGGGTGTCGTGGATGTGCCGGGATTTCCAGAGAACGACGGGGCCCACAATCCACGACCAGAACACCTGTCCAAACACGCCAGGCTACCTGCATATCGGTTAGCGCGCAGCTCTCGCCGTACATGCGCTAGGCGTATGTCGGGAGGCTTTCTTACCACTCCCAGCCCCGCTCCATTGCCGACTTTTGCTGCATCTCGGTTCCATGGACCTCGGTGCCTGGATTCCCCCAAGTACGATGCCATTTGCGAGAGATGAGCCACATCAAGACCGTGAGAAATACCTAATGACTCAATTAGACACCGAACGATTGTCAATAGGAGTAGGCGGTGGCCGTTTTACCTGAACGAGCGACGCCACCGTAACAAACACGAGGATCTTGGTAGTGTATGCAAGGCGACGGAACCGGTCTACGACACCGAGCTTACTCCTCGTGGAGTATAAATCATTCCCACCACTGCTGCGAATAATATAGCCCTCCTGAAGCTTTGCCACATGGTAGAAGCGACTGTTCGATGCGTGGAACAGGGCAATGCCACACGGCAGATAGGTGCCCATGACCCAGTACTCGGCATCTCCGGGCATGATGGTGCCAATTATGGTTCCAAATTGCACTGAAGTCCAATATACATGAAGCATAACAACGGCGGACAGCGACAACCCGAGGCCCCGCAGCAGGAGGGGAGGCGTGTTGCGATGGGCGACGAGATAGGCCACGCCAGACGCAACAATAACCGTCCAGGTGCCCGCCCAGCAGGTCCACCATATACTGACCGGAGTATAGGCTGGCTGGGGCGTGGATGCGGCAGTGACCCCCAGTTCGGACCCCATGATTCTGCTGTCGTGGGGAGAAAAATGATGCAAAAGGTATCAATACAATGATAGACAGATCTAACGAGGGACTCTGATTGTGGCCAACACTGTCGCTCAATGTCATCGGCCCTGCTTCTGTAGGGGAGAGACGTCAGTGACATTGGCACCGGGCTAGCCAGTCTTTTCAACTGCTCGAGATTTCGAGGTTACATCTTTTATGGACAGGACGGCTCCCAGCCTACAGCGGGGCCGGCGCCCAACTCACATGCGGCCCCATTTTCTCTATGTTAGTGCTTTGAACTACCATGCTACAGTAGCAGCGGCCCACAGAGCGGCAGCTTTGTGCTTTCAACAATGGTTCTTGGCGACCTCCATCGCAGTGTGTTCGCATGGTAGGTTCCACCCGTTCTCGCAAGCGGCCGGTCCTGACGGTTGTTTCCTACCGCCAGATGCTGCTGATTGTCCGCCGTCGGTTCTCCACGGTCAGTTGTCCAGCAATGAAAGTCCACGTCCACTCTCATCGAGCATCCCCTATTCCTCTGCTAGCCAAGTAGGATTGCCACTTGTATGGACCCACCAGGGCACTGACAGACTTTCATGCGGCTGTCCAGGGAGATCATCCGGGAACGTTACATACATTTAGGACACGAATCTCCCGCTCCTTGTTTTGTTCCCCCCCCTCTCATAGGATTTGATGCACTTGTCCAAGTTGCAACGCCCGGGGGCTGTTCAGCGATAGACAATCGTACAGCAGCAACACGAAAGCTTTCTGGTGAGTCGGGAGCAAAGCATAAGGGGGAGACTACTAAATATTCGAATAGATTTCCCAGCCCTCAATTGAAATCCCTCGCAATGTCAGATCCAATTATTGCCGACTTGTCTTGTTCCTAAACAATGTAGATCCCAGTATTGTTACCTATGGCAATCCCCCATCTTCTGCATCTCCTCTCTCGCTAACGTGAATGACCCTTATTATGGTTGAAAGAAATTAGATCATATGGAATGAAAAGCAGCATCGAATTCTAGACTACAAGAACACAATTCTGTACTTTCTACAACATAGTAAATGATACTCCGTTATTGAACTTCCCACATTCACCGCTTCTTGTTTGCTTCCACGCTCGTAAGCATCGCTTTCCATAGGGCAATGTCACTTCCGGTCAACGCAGCGGCCTCAACAGCAGTAGCTAATACATCAAGTCCTCCGGGGCTGTTGGCCACCATAGAGAAAGCAGATCTTGCAGGTTTGAAACATATTGTCGGAAGCGCCTGGTATTCCAGCTCCATCACAATCCCGACATAAGCGATGAAAACATAGAGCAAGGACCATATCTGGTGCCTTTGTTCCACACCGGTCACATTTGGCTGCCTCTATATTTTCCATTGGCTCTCTCAGAGGTATACTCCGCTCATTCTCGACCAATTGTCTAGCTCGGGCCAGGGCATTGGATTGAAGTCGACATAGCTGTCGTAGGTTGCAGAGTTCTTGAAGTGTCTGCGGCAGAACCCACATCGACCCTGCATGGTTCTGTGACCACAATGCCTGCTCGAGCCTCTGAGATTCATGTTGCGCCTTCTCAAGGGCTCGGTAAAATCGTGCTCTGATTACACACGAACGAGGGTAAGTTTTCATTTTTCTGGACGGTGACCTCGAGCCTGCAGCTAAGTATGTCAGTTCCCCCAGATCATCATTGTGTGAGGGGATAAACCTTTCATCTCAGCCGGAGGCACAACGCCCGTTAGCGTATTCTTCTGCATCAGTAGGTGCAGGATGTGGGTTGGAGTGGTGGAGTGAAATATACTTGAAAAGACTGGGGAAGGAAAAATAGAAATGGTCGAGGTACAGCTTAGCAATCGTGGGAGTACATACTTCCACCCAATATATATTGAGTTGAAGCCTGTGAAACGGTAGCACCACCATGGCCTAGATATATGGACTTACAACCGTCCCGGCATTCTTGCGGATCACGGACCGTTGATGTGAACCGTGCGGATGTCGGGAAGTACTTCTTCGGGCTAATCCCGTTCGTTATTTGAATCGTTGACCAGAGGATCTCACTTACTAATGTTTCTGGGCCGTAAGGTAAGGAAACCCGCTTCGTACAAGTGGCATGCCTTCAATGGGGCCATCTCCGTGGTCGCCGTGCCCTTCCTCCGTTTCTTTATCTCATATGACGCTAAAGTAAATAGACGGAAAGTCTATTCCTCCGTCGGCCTTGGTTCCTGCAGCCAGACGTATAGGTAAGAATGGATTTTCCGGAATCCTACAGTCTCGGCTTATTCCATGAATGGTTAAAGCCGGATGGTACTCTACGAGTTACGGTATCCAACTGTTCATCCGGAGTGGCAAAGTCCACACTTCAGGCGCGGCTGGACCTCCGAAGGTTACCATTACTCCTGAGAACAGTGTCAGAACAGCAAGAGGCTCTGGCTGGTCCCCCCCTAGATCTCTGGCCGGTCACAGTCACAGTCGATCGACCTCCCTCCTACTCTCCGTCGCCCACGGCAGTTGACCATGCCGAGCGGCGAAGATTATTCAATCTCACCCGATAATATAAAGATACCCCATCACTCATGGAGGGTCTTTCCCATTCCACGTCGACACAGTCGAATGGAGAGCGATGATATGATGCCAAGTGCTGGCCAGCGTCCTACAGACCCGGACATCCTTGTCGTGGAGGCGTGGGGACAAGGATTCCTGGTGGGCTCCCTTATTGTCATGATTGCCATCACCGCGGCCAACATGAAAAAAGGGGTGCTCCTGCACAGACTCATCGTGGCAGAGGTAAGTTGTGCTGTGTCTTTGGGGCGAAAGGGACGCTATCCCCTGCTGACGTGGACGCTTAGCTCGCCCTGGCCCTCGGGCACGGAACGTTCATCTTTCTCCATGCGCCTGCGTATGGCTGGTATCTCTCGGTCACGGCCGTGGGTCTCACAATTTCGCATTCCCTCCACAACGTGATTGCATGGATGAAGATCCGCGGCTTTTTCCCACCCTGGGGCACGCGGCTCTATTTGATCACCCTGCTGGCGGCCCAGCCGTACTGGGTCGTCGAGATCTATGCCAATTTTGCCTTTTTCAACCGGGGCCAGGCCTTGTACACCACCACTCGGCCACTCGAGCCGCTTTTCCGGTGCGGTGTTCGAGCGCAATTCTTTCCACGCCCGGCGTTGCTAATCCGAATATAGGGACCCTTGGTGGATCTTCACCACCTGCTTTCTCCTGTACATCATCCAGCGTGGGTATGGGTGTTCGCTGATGCAGCTGATCCGCATCAGCCCACGGTTCGGCGTCATGCTCCTGTTCATGGTGATCTCCGTCGTGTTTGCAGTGGTGGACATGTGTGCGATCCGGGTTGAGAATCGCCTAGGTTATCCTCCGGGCATGGAGCCGTTCTGGAAGGTAAACAGCCGCCACTGACGAGAAAAAGATCAGCATGCTGACCCTGCTGTAGTTAGCGTTTGTTTTCAAGTGCCTAAGCGACACCATCATCTTGGATGACTTCCGGAGCGCCCTGAACCGACTGCGCTATCACTATCACCCGGACGCGCCCCCACCGCAGGAGACCACGCACGCTCGCGGTCGGAGCACAAACCGGCTTGTGGACTGTGTGCCCGAGGCATCTATCAAACGCCCTGATCCAGTATGTCGTCCACCTGACATGGTGTAAAGCCTGGAGTATCGTGTGTCGGCGCCAACGCGCACGGCACAGGCTGAATATAAATGCTGGATCTGCTAGGTACATAGCCGCTACGCATGGGAAGGGGCGCGACACACGTCCGTGACACATCCTCGCGTCTTTGTCTGGCGGACATGATGGAGACCCACTTCACCGAACCGCTGGAGTTTAAATGATCACCTGTGCGGCTGATTCGTTCAACAACCAACGCCACCGACGATCAAATGCAGCTACGGGGTGGAAGTTTTTGTTTACGGAGTAGACAACGTATTCCTTTACCTTGGGATCGACAGACCAGGTTGCCCTCGCTCTACTACAGCCAGCACAAACATTCACTCTTCATTGAAGATAGCTATATACTCTAGAATCGAGCAGATCTTAATTCCGGCCGGACAAGATTGGTGAAAGACAGTGGTTCTAAACGATGTTCATTCCGACTCCATCTCCTTGTACCGAGCTGAGCGACGGGATTTGGTGTGAGAGGTCGGGACACTCTCATAGGTGCTGCTCACTCTCCTGTGCAGGCGGTGATTTTCCTGGTTTTGATCTTCCATTTGTTCCTCCAGCTTTCTATAGCTCTCCGTCAGCTCAAGGTCCCGTAGAGTATCACTTGGTAACGCAATGAAGATAAGCTTACCGGACTCTAGCTTCGAGACTTGAAAATACAGATCAGCACCGTTCAAGAATGAATGACGGCCGGGTTTGGGACATCATATGACGCGACATACTCGCGGATCAACGACGCGAGAGCCTTCAGATCATCCACATTATTGGGATGCTCAGGAAGCTCGTTTGTGATCACGCTGTCGACCTCCCACATTGCATCTCTGTCGCTTGCGCCGTTTTCCCGTTTTCTAGGGTTAAAATGCCCTCACCCAAGGCGGCCTGAAAGTTCGGTTTCCTGTCATCTGGCGGAGCTGATTCTGTGAAGTGCGAGGCATTAGACCAAATACCAGATTGCGATTTCTTTTCAGCTGATGCTAGTAGATTCCAGAGCTCGTTCAATCGTGGCAGGTAAGCTTTCATTGTTATCAGAGGATATGAGTGACGCCGGGAGGAATGGGATTTTTGTAAGATATATGCATACCACGAAGGCGAGAGGTCCCAGCCTAGGACGCACATGGCGCCTTATAAGGATTGGCTGTCTCGTTGACTTAAAATCAAGATGACACCACGTGCTAATCCTACCCGAAACGGTTCATCCAATGCAAGCCCGAAGTTAAAGATGACATTGAGGCCATGGTCCTAGGCATAGGCAGACCAAAGACCAAGTGTAACCTCGCTAATTCTTGTAGTACTCAACGGTGATTAACTAGGGACTAGTCAAACTATGTGCAGTCGGGTTATCTTGTCTTCCTGCAAACCAGAACAATTGAGGCTGGATTCCCTGACTCGAGTTGTCGGATGGTGAGAATACGGGTGACGTCCATGGCAACGATACAGATAATTATCATAAAGCAGGAAAACAAGAAAGCCATACAACATCACAAGCTATTACTGTAAATGCGGCCCTCCAACCTCTGAACGCATGCTAAAGAAGAACCCAGTATGCTCTTCATACTAAAAGCTGCAAGACATGTTTTCAACAAAACGCTCTGAGTCCATTGTCTAGCATCCTTTAGGTTTGCCCCGGGAAACACTCGCAATCTGCCGAGAGTATGGAGGATCCGCTCGTCTCTTGGCCACATAAACATTCGAAGTCAATGGTGCGCATGTATGGACGTATGACTTCCCAGAGCTGCTTGCGACAATGTTCGAGCTTTCGAGGGCGCACTTCACGCGCGGAAGGAAGAATGCAGAGACGGTGGCTGATTCCAACGTGTGTTTATGGACGACCGTAAGGTGCATTACCAACCAATCAATGGGGGCCGATAGCTTGATAGAGACGTGTCGAGAAATATCCTCGGGATGCGTAAGCGGAGATAGGATGCTGGGCCCATTCTAGGTCGAGAACTCGGAAACCGCATAAGAAGAGGACAAGTAACAGTCAACCGCCAGAACCCCGCATTCGCAGGGGAATGTCTAATAGCTGTACTGCAGGTTGGGCATCCCCATATCAGGCGTATCTTCGCCTTTTCTTAGGGTTCTGGTCTGTGGACAACATGATGACATTTTCACGGAAGGTGTCTCTCCTGGATCTTCTACCTCTAAGGCCCTCTCAATGAGCAGCTGCAGCCTTGGGGATTTCACGGTATCACAACATACGCTGTTGTACAAATATGGTGCTTGTATGGAAAATTTGTGCATGAGAAGGCCATGGACTCGGTACTGGAGTATTGCCGGTAGCGCGCGCGTACGCCTTATATCGCTTGGAACTGTCACACTAGTCCGCTTTAGAGGGACTTCGGATTTCTCCCCGTCTATCGTAACCCTGGGTCAAACTGCGGGCCAAGAATGGTGGAATATTGGTCAGATCATGCCGATGCCCCGGGAGACCAACTGGGCAACATGAAGGGTATGAAAAATCAGCTGGGAAATTGCCGTAAGCGGAGTAGCCATGGTTATATTCGACTACCCCTCACAGTGAAGTTCCAGGTCGGCCACTTTGCCGATAGGATAACTCTAATACTAGTCGACAGCACCGCATACGTTCAAGAGACCTCAAGCTTCTGATCCTGCTCGACGATCAAAGGCACAAACACCAAGCGACGAATGTCGAAATTGGGGAGGGGCTGCTCCGACGGCGGTGTCGTCGGTTTTCGGGCACCCTCAACTAACGGATGGTACTGGTGGTGGCGGCAATATGGATTGAATGCATGGAGTCTTCGAGGCAACCCAACACAGGGAAAGCAATTGCATATGTTCGCCAGGCTACAGCTGATATAGCATGTAGCATTTACCGACAGCGATCGGACACGGCTCCGATTGGGTGCCCTGGCGCAGTCGCCATCGCATGCCCCAAAGCTGCTTAATGACCGCTGAGGACTGCCCGTGCAATCTCACATGCAACAGCTTACCGCAACAGAGCAGTGTTAAATGACCACGATGTGAGCACTGTAGCGGTCGTAGCTCTTCGGCCTGTCAAGTTAAGCATTGGCAGGACTCCACAGGGTATCCTTGGGGGGTCTGATCGCGGCGGCACAACAGATGTGCCAGCATCAAAGGCTTACCGAGGAAAGGGGGAAGAGCCCCGCAAACAATTACACCGTTCACCAACCAATGAAGGAGGTGATTTATCCGTGACGGTCTGTGTTGAGCGTGTAGGAATCGGACTGCAGAGAGAAGACGAGAAGCAGCGATGAATGTCACTGCCGCATGGGATCGGCTGCGCGTAAAGAGAATCGTTATGTCCTAGGCATGCTGAAACTCACGTTATTCTCGATAACCTCTAAGTATGCGGGCGGCAACCCACTGCTGAGAATCACTTGAGGCCGGAACAGTGGCGGTGTTCTTGTTGCGACAAGGCGCCTCCCGGACATGACCTGGCTCGAGGTCGAGGTCAAAGAGTTTGATATCCGGCCCCGTCCGAGGCTGGACGACATCATGGACCGGTTGGCGAATGGACTGACGGGCGCACACTAGGGTGGACCATGATTAGTCATCGGGCGCACGTCCAACACGGTCTGTCAGAAGCGCTCTCATCACACAGCCGTTGTAGGTTGACAGATGAATCGATCGGGTGGGAAGTAAACCTACCACTGACAGCTAGCTTTCCACGGCGCTTGCTCAGGTGACCTTGGGTGATTTCTCTGATTATTAATAGTCCTTGACACAGTTTAATTCGTTCTCCGAACCCATTACCGGGATTAGTGGATGTCCTCTTTGTAAAGTAATACAGACGAAATTCAAGAATCTATTAAAGTCAGGGCAGCGTTATTGATAGCTGCAGAGGATTTATCACCTACCCTGGATTCACCGCGGTCGAGGTCCAAGAGGTCCTGTATCTAATCGCCCAGCCAGCATTGGTGGTCTAGGATTCATTAGGATCTCTGCGGATTCAGACAATATATGGAGAGATGGCCATACCAAAGTCTTGCATCTGCTAGATAATTTTCAATTTATATATTATTGCCCTCCGCTGCTCACTTGCCTGGACGAGCATGCGGATATAGGAAAGCACTCGCAAAATACCAATATTCTCTATGATAAACACGATCGTCCCAAACGGAGAAAAGTTGATCGATGGGCCGTATAGCCCTAGCAACAGTGCAGGCTGTCGACGCTGGTATAGCCATTCGTGGAAATAAAGTTGTGTACTGAGGCTGGAGGCTCGAGGTCGGGTCAGAACGTATAAAATACACGGTCCGGGCGCATCATCCCAGTAAGCGACGTAGAAGGGCTGGAGTTGGAAGCACGAGCGAAATCCTACGTAAGGTAATCAGAGGTATATATACTACCCCGGCCGGATGTGTCAATTGGAGAACACTGTAATGTCCATGCGAAGCAGCTCATGAAAGGGATATATAGTTAGGACGGAGCGTCCAGCACTCCAGCATTATTAAATAAAAACTGCATAGGAGACGGCGACGGCACTCAGCATAATCCATAGAATCCCAACATCAACCACTTGCCAGCAGGATTCTGATCCTTGGTCCCACGTATGATATGCCAGGGCCGCCATTGCCGTGACCGCCAGAGAATAGTGGATTTTCATGGCCACCTGACAGTGCTGTCGGACGACCGCATGCAAGGTCACGGGGATCATGAGAAGAACAGCAGCAGCTGCCTAGCCCTACTTAGTGGTATGCTCTCGGATCACAATAATAATTATCATCATCATCATCATCATCATCATCATCATCATCGAGGGGCAGCGTGGTGGACTGACCAGTAAAGGCACCCAGTCATGCCTCAGCGAGGCGATCGGGTTCTCCGCTCTGGCGATGGCAATGGCTCCATGAAGCAGGGAATGGGCGGCCATCACCCGCCCAACCCAACAATGCGACCACGCAACGGCAGAGTAGCTGATTCCGAGCAGATAGGCTGGGAGGCCAAAGGTGAGGCCCGTACCGAGCGCCAATAGGTTCAAAACAGCGAGCTTCACCGCGCGTTGCTGGACGTCGGCCCAGCCATGGGCAGACACGAGTAGAAGAACAATGTTGGCACCCAGGAGCACCCCAACCAAGATCGCCTCGAGAGCGATAGCAATGTCAATAGCCTGGAGAAGCCACGGCAACTCGCGGCCGAGACGCCGTCCAATAGAGGCCGCGATGTGGCGTTGGACAGTCCACCGACCAAGCTGGTACGCTAACCGCGTGAGAAGCCAGACGCCCAGCAAAGCAGCAACCCATATCCCGTACCAGTCAACGGGCTGGGTTTGGGTAGCCTGTTCATACAGGTCTGAGAGTGCTGGAGGCATTGTCTCTGGGGGAGCGGAAGTTGGACCTGGCAGATTGGAGATGGGAGATGTTGGCTTATAAGCATATTCACGGCGTCGGCCTTGGGCCACCGGGACAGCTAGATGCTACACACTTTCATTATTGGTGGTCGGCTCTGCGGCCCTCCTGTTGTAGTTGGAGATGGTGAGACGGTGAAGTATATGGCGGGCACGTGTATTTGCCCGTGTAACCACGAGGTCAAATCCGAGAAACGCTGGGTCCTATTAGCCCTTCCAATCTGATGCCCGGCATCAGAACTATGAGGTGCATCTAAGACAACCTATAAAAGCAATGAATGGGTATTTAGCGAGCTTCTGCTTCTAACAGGCAGGGTCAGGTTTTGACGTCCTTATTACCATGGTGGCTTATGGGAAGTCATTTTATTGTTCTACCGTAGCTCTACATAATGCTGACAAAGGTTGAATTATCTGAGAATGGAGTTGTGTTCGACTGCTATGTATGTCGCTCTATAGTACATACAGAAGCACCGCTTGAATTTGTATCAGTTGTGGGAACAAGTCAGTAATTCTTCAGACTTTTGTATGGAAATCTTCGGACACTCCCCGGCGCAAACATATATACAAAATGATTAATTAGCTAAGGTATGTAACAACAACTGATGGCTCCTCTAAGTCCGTTCGGTTACAGTCGGTCTCGAAATTCCCCTGACCTTCAAACACATGATGATTGTTTTCTCGTCCCACTGCCAAGGATATAGTAGGGGAGTTATAGAGAGCAATCCACTTGCAAATGATGGTGGCCTCCAATACAGATCGCATTGTAGCGAATATTGCTCAAATAATATGCTCGCGCTAAGCCCTTGTCAGTGGGGCTGGAAAACAATTGTCATGTGTTTGAAGGTCAGAGGAGTTTCGAGACCGACTGTATGTGTCCAGGAATTGATATTTTAACAGGGGTACAAAGGCGCGGTTCTACCCGGCTGAGCACGCAGGATGCTTGTGTCGAGTGAATTCTTCCGCGGGATCCAGATTAGAGATACAGAATTAGGAGCTCTGGCTTGCCGCAGGCCCCACCCCTTCACAGTTTCTCAACTTCCTAGGGGCCATAAGCCTTCCAACAAGAACCGATGCTTATACATGAGATTCCATTTCTTAGAAAAAAGAAGAAAAAAAAAAAAATGATGAGCAGAACAATACTGAATTATTCTATCGAATACTGACTGATTGCCTGGTACAATCGCTCAGCACACTCCAAAAAAGCTCATGCCGCAGTAACTAATATGACTACGCTATTCTTTCACTGCAGTAATGTAATCGTCTTGATTTCAAATTGCTCATGATCCACTAAACTATCATCTAAACTATCATCTAAAGCAGAAGAACAAATACATCTTATCTTCTTCTCATTCTTCTCAGCCGGCAATTTTCCAAACAGAAAGCCTGATACCAAACAGACCCTCCGGCCAATCTCATAGGGTACATCGCCAGCGATGTTAACCCGGTCAGTGCCAGCCACTTAGTACACCTCCACACCTCCGTTTGCCAACAAGTGGCCCTTATAGACCGTATAATCGGCTCCAATCAAGGTTAGTGCTCTCACGTATGCTTGCATATCTGTCTTATCCAAGGCCATACTGTTGATCATCCTTTCCACGTAGTCCTTCCGGCTAAAGGTTATTTGTGACGCAGGCTTATCGGATGGAGTAGTTGAGTCAGTTGCGGCGGCAGTTGCCCCTTCTACAGGGATTGGGCGAACAGGATTTCCGGGTTGCGGTTCTGAATTATCATTGGACTCTGCATTGATGGTATTCGGAGCGGGGCTGGCTGTCGCCTCTCGCTTCGCCGTGATACTAGATTGACCTCTTGGGACATGGCTTCTTTCCGGCTTTGCTCGTTGCCAACAGAGCACCATGATTGTCCGTTCCTTCTTTCGTCAGACATTTCAGTTTCTACAGCACCTCTGCCTGTACCCAACCGCTATTTGTTGCCCATGACGTCATATCCCGTATCGTGTGCGAGAATGTCAAATGTTTGAAAAATCCTTGGGGAGCTTCTGATCTTCTAGACTGTTTGAAACATAGAATTGAAACTCAATGAAACAGATTCAGATCACCCAGCACCACTTAACCTTGAATTTCATTACTCTGCATCAGGCCTTTTGATTGGGCCCTCGCTTTGCCCTCAGAGTAAAGAAGAGAGCGACCCTCGACAAGAATGCAAATTCATCTCCGCCCTTTGCTGTGGACCAATGAGATGGCATTGTGTCGGGTGGGTGATTTCCCTGTCTCGCTGACCCGGGTCTAATGAGTAGATATTCCTCGGCAACGGTGACCGGCAGCTCAAACAAGGTTTGTTAGAGCTTTCTTAGTTCCAGCTCTACCACTCAGGTTTTCTTGCTCACTATTCAGGGGTATAAGCCCCGTAGTGGGTTTTTCTTGTTTGATTCTCGCATATTCCCCGTTCTGAGGCGTTGACACAGGTCTTGTATGATTGCGCAATTGGTGGTTCTGGAGATACTGCCCTTGGCATGGGGGCAAAGAACCTGATCTTTCGGTTTACTCTATGGATGGATAAGGTCAAAACGAAAGGGGTAAAATTTCCATCATGAGGTGGAGCCCTGGACGTCTCCATGCGACCAGCCAGAACCGGTAATCATGGTAAGCAGAGGGTAACGGTGGGCAACATGACTGGTGCCGTGTGCTCAAGACGGAATATCTCAGTCATCGAGAGCCTGTCGGTTGGGAGAAAAGAGAAAGATGCCATCGTGTTTTGCCTTGGTGGATACTGCCATCTAGAGGCCCAGGCGGTTGTGCTCGCAGCAATAGAATTGCCCGACTCTGCACTCTCTGGGTTTCATCACATACTATTATGAGTAGTCCTGCTGCTTTCAGCTATGATAGTCTGTGTTGTTACGGCATTTAAGCTTATCAGTTGAGACCACAATAGCGGCAATGTTGGATATAATTGTGTGGTTTCTTCTATTTCTTGACGTACGTGACCTCGGTGGCCGATACTTATCGATGAGACAAGTGAAAAGGTCCCTTTCCTTGAGACTGTATGAGATGATCCATTTCTACCCGGTTACTAAGGTAAGCATCAAGGCCCGGTCATGGCCACATGACTGGCGAGCTGTGACTTCTGGTGCGTGAAATCTTGCGAACCAGCCAGCTTTAGCCCTCAAGATTCGGAAATACCCTCGCGCTGACCAATTTGAACCATGCAGAGACATCAATAACACCTGATATGGTTAGAACAAGGATCTTAGAAAACGCGTAAAATCTAATCTTATTAGCATTCTCTATAAAACATCTGCGGCCAGGTCAATGACCAAGCCTTTTATAGTTATTATGTCCACCAGCCGTGGAGCCAACTGCCCGCTTCTGACTTAACCGTCGCTGTGCTGTCGGGTTGTGGATAAAACCATTATTACTAGAACACAGCAAACCAGAAACTTATCTCACAATTAAAATCCCTAAAAAGAGTTTCTAGAGAATAATAAGTAAATCATATCTTGAAATTAAGACCAGACCAGACAAGCTTTCCAGATGCGATTATTCGAACATGAAATGAATTTAAGCAAGTCTGGCACTATAATACTCGTCATATAAAAGAAGCCACCATAATAAGTTCAAAGATAAAAAAGCATCCACAGCCACTCTTCTATTCTTATAAAAATATAATCAAATAACATAAGTGACTTCAATGATCGGGAACAGCCGGCGAAGCACAAGCACGAGAAATAGATAAAATTAGATTTAGAACACCGTGATAACAACAAGACATCTAAAACTGTTAAATTATCATAGCAGCCGTTGAAGATACTTTTCTTCTTATTATACTAAATATATAATATATAGTTTTCGAGATTCCAGCATGAGCTGATATCTTCTAGACCATAGCACCACCACTTTCCAAGAAAGCGCTGTCAAAAGATAAGAAAATTGCTTCTATTAATCTAATTATTAAGTTAATCTATTCCCCGACTCGTAAGTTGTAGCAGCAACTAGATGACTATAATCCAGTCCTTGCAGAGCGAGACGCGCGATTGGTAGCTAACTACCAGCGCCTCTGTGAATCGTATATCGTGTAGCATGCTAAGTACTCGCGCCTTGAAAAGAAAAATAATTAATTATAAGTCATCCACGCCCGCCTTATCAACGAAAACACCCAGTTGAACCGTCGCTGCCGGAATGAAAAAGCCCGGTTGTGCCACTTTCGGGACGCGATCCAAAAATTAAGAAATAGTATGATTAACGTGGTTAAAATATATGAGAATTTCAAGATGACGGAAGCATCCGCAGCAAGCAGTACAAACAAACCAACACAGGAGCAGAAGAAAGTGGCGGTCATTGTACCCATGGTATATATCCAAAAAAACCAAGGTACCAGCGCTTCTCATTAAAAATAATAATTAGATATGCAGTGGACGAGGATAGTGAATTATATATATTAATATAAAATAATACTGAACCGAAATAGCTTTGTACATAGAACCCATGAACAACGTGCACAAAAACGCCAGAACTGGAATCAAGGATTATAGACTCTCTATATTCTTTCATATTTCATAATATTATCCATATCAACATGAATAACACAGCCTGATAGTAGTAATATTACATAGTTATTATTACTTAGTAATAACTCTAATAGATTCTTCTGGGTGACCCAGTGTCTAATAACCGTTGTCGCAATGTTCAGTAGGCCTGGGCGATTAAGCTGGACAAGATATTATAATAATCCAGGAATCAGCTGTCTCAGAAGAGCTGCAGCAACCGTAGTTTAGCTATAATATGAATGCCATCACAGTACCAAGCGCATAAATTCAATACCGTTGATTGATTTATCTGACGCTTTCAGAGTCTCACTGACGCAACAGCGCATGATTCTAATTATTGCCGTGCCAATACGGCACCTTCGCCGTGCACATTGCGCCGAAAGCATTAGTATTTGGACGTGTCCACTAGATATAATAAAAGTAGCCGGAGCATCTCTATCTTGAAATAATCTAGTTTAGAAAATAGACCACTGCTTTCTAAGACAATCTTACAGCTATTAATATCAGATTAACCACAGGACTGTATATCAATTTTTTTATTTATTAGTAGTGATGCGGCTATAATCATCTCGTATAACACCGCTAAGCTCGTGCTTTGAATAGAAAGAACATCATCGTCTTCTGAGTTCTATAATAGAAGATCATAGTAGCCAAAGTTAGAGGTCATTCTTGTTTATACTATTAATAACAAAAGTTTTGTTCACTGTGTGTTCTTTCCTCTAAATAGCCATGATATTAATACTCCCAGTTTCTGACTCGAATTGCTTTGTAGAGCGAAGCGTTACTGGGCTAAGAACTACTGTGTATATCTATATTCTCAAACAACAGCGTGGTCTTTTATACAATCATGACTGGAGTGCAACAGCTGAAATCTCGTTGAATACCATGCCTGGGAAACAAAACATGCAGGTCAGTTTATAAATATAAGAAGCTTTTTACTAGATTATTTATAGCATCTTTCTACGGACGTTTATCCAAGTAACAAGCAGCAAATAATAAAGAATAAAAACTTACAAGAATAAAATATGCCCCCGCACCACGTGCTTAGTAGTTACAACAGTATTTAGCTAGTCACTTTTACTTTGCTGAAGAAATCCAATATCTCATTTAATTTTAATTAATCTTTATAGAAGCCAAAGCAGTGTCTTCACAATTAATCTAGCGAATTCAACGCTGCCTCGATGATAGGACTGCTTTTTGTACTACACATGGCATTGAAGATCGCTTAATACTTCTTCCAAGCTGCATACTATGCCTTGCTCCCAGAGAAGATCCTTTCCTAGTTGCGTGCATCTCATTTTCCAGCCTTCGGATATGTCGGTGACCTCCGTGACCTTATGTTGGAGGCGATCGAGCTCCTCTCGCTGTTGGTTGTTTTCTCGTACTAAACGCTCAATCCTCGCAGTGAACGACTCATCAGTATCCGATATTGACGGACGCTGAAAAGGAAGGATAAGCGGATTAGCCTCCACACCGAGGTCCATTGAGGGTGGCCTACTTTAGTGCCCCGTGCCACGTCTGCCACTGCAACAGGACGGACGGCCTCGATCGACCGACCGATATCTCTGCATGTTGCATCGTACAGACCCACCGACCCATTGGCCAGACTAGTGTTCATTCAATGTGCCTTTTGCATCAGTAGCCGACCAGGCATACCCATCCCTTGGGCCTGGCTTCAGTCGTACAGCCCGGGGATGGACCCTCACCGCAAGCCGATCATCTAGATATGTCAGCTTGTTCAATATTGTTGAGCGAGTTTGGGCCGGGGAAGGAGTTACAGATATGGTTCCCCAATGCCTCGCGGCATTGTTGGCGGAGCCGAGTGCGCCTTTCATTGCTGTCTCGGGCCATTGGATTTCTCCCGAACACTGATGCGAATCATGTTCATTCGCGGTCGTCTATCAGGAACATATCGTATCCATTTCGCTCCTTTAACCCAGCATGGCCAAGGTCACCTCACCTTATGTGCAAGTGATTACCACGACGTCTAGGCACCAAGAGTAGACTTTTCTTTGCCCACGGTGACTTTTGTTTGCCCATAATGGGGTGAGCCCGTCATATGCAGGCCGCCGACTTCAACCACTTCAATTCAGCAGTACTTGTGATCACTTGCTGAGGCAACGCGGGTTTTCGGTTATTGATCGTGCCGGACCTTATCTGAAGCGGAATGTTTAATATACCAGTAAAGTTGCCCTTCACAGATCGTTTGATAATATTATTCGTTAACGAGAATGTCTGGTCGATATTAACCCTCGTTGTCCACACGAACAATGCCAATACCCACTTCCCCCAGGATTAAAAGAGGTAGGCGACATTTCAGTCGAAGAACAGATAAAACCACAGACGTAAATTTTTACATCGCTAATCAATTGACCGCCTATGGCTTTCCGTGATACCTTATCTTAGTAGATGGCGGTAAATATGTCATTATATGTGATTTTTCCTAGATTTGGTTGAGGTGTTTAGATCGCCCAAATTACGGGCATGGGTTTTGGGCTTTCTCACTGATTGACTAATACCCGCAGTTCACAAAATTGGGTAATTCTATAAGAGATATATCTCAAAAATAGATAATATACCCTACTCTTATAAGTAGGCATACTTCATAACCAGAAGATAATTAACAGAGTATTAGTCACTCTAGTTGGTATATAAATTATAAAAAGTCTGGAATAATTGAGTATAGTGAATACCATTACTAGAAGCATAAAAATATACAGCTACAAAAACTTCTCAAATAATTATAAAATAAATAAAATAGAAGTAAGATATCCCTAGATAAGTTAAGAAATATCCAAGATTTATAGAAAATATAACCGCGTTCTTAACACTTGGACACCCCCATTTATGCATCACGAAAGCTTCATGCACGTTTGGGATCGTCCTGGTTCAAGACCCTGATAAATAAGCCAAAAAGCCAAGACTAGTTACAAGTCTATGACTAACTAAACTTCTTAACAAGCTTTTTCTCTCTATCTGTTTAAATATCCAACTAATTCTTCTAATATAAAAGTCAAGATTACCATTATCTTTATTATAGAAACTTATAAATCTCATATTTTATAATATATAACTTTTAATCTAGCTTAGTCTTTTATATTTATCACATCAATCCACCTCTCGAGATTTTAAATATCTTTAGTTGGTCACATTGCTACTACTTTAAGTTGCAACATATTAATAAAGCGCTTTTGAGGTAGCTGGCTATATTACTATATTTATAAAGAATAATAGTATTAGTTATATTAGTTCATCCAATATCCGCATTTCATCTATTCGTTGGAGGACTGGGCTAGATGGCATATATAACTATAATTAATATATAAATCCTGAAATAAGACCAGACTAGGGCTTATTAACTAGCTTTACATATTTTTAACTAATTTTTTCTTTTCATAGACAGATATTCCCGCTAGATAATTCTTTTTATAACTGCATCTATTGCTAGAGCTGGGATATCGTGCTATATATTAGATAGTTCCAAATAAACCACAGAATAAATGGGCGACTAATTAATAGAATCTAGTATTCAGTTCTCAAGTTAATAATCTAAGTAAATAATAAACTTAGAATATATTACAGATTAGTTAAAATTACAAGGCTCTATAGAATTTTTAATCATAATATAAAAGCTTATAAATATAAAACACAGACTTCTAAATAATAATTATTATTTAATAAAATTATACAGCTCTCTCGCGCTACTTTTAATATATTATATTTATTATTATTTGAGATTATTGATACCATCGCTGATGTGGTATTGTAAATATACTATTTAAATTTAACTAATTACTAATTATATGCTAGTTGTTATAGTACAGCGTTCGGTTCTTGAGTTTAGTTTCTATCAGATTATATACTATTTTATTTCTATAGTTTCATCGAACTATCACCTTCCATGCGAGAAATAAATAGGCTTTAAATATTTTTAATATTTATTTTTTTTTTAGGACTACTCCGGCTTCCGCACCAGTAAAATCCTCTAGTATATCTGGTAGATAAGATTCAGCGCTTCTATTCACATTGCTAGATTCTATTATTATATATATAATAATTATTTTTTTCTACTAGTCTTGTCCCACAATCAACCTACACTTAGAAGCCCGTATAAGTCAACAGTCTATTAAATCTTTTTTAATAATTTATTTT